CCCCAAGTGGTGTGATGGGAAAGGGGTAAAAATTTTAAAATTCTTTACAAAAAAAGAATAAATAAATTTGTTAAATTAAAATAATTTGTCACTATCCTACCTTCTGCTATTAATTCATTTTAGTAATACTCATTGTTATTTTCATTTATATGGTTTTTGAAGAAGGTGCTAGTCCGCTGTACTACAGCATTCCACTATAAAAGTACCCTGTATACAGAATGACCTAAAAGTCAGTCAACCTAAAATTTTCTCTCATAATAATGGGAATATTCTGATTTAAACGTGCCATAAAACTCCATGGAAAGAAAGATCCCAATGCACTGTCTACAGCACAAAGTTGAGGAGGTGAAGAGTCACAACAGTATGCACCAGATACAACAAGGTACTGCATGGAGACTGCTTCCCTAAACACAGTTGCTAACTGCAAAAGTATGTATGCACTGTTTTACATTATGTGATGTAGTTCCAGACCAATGAGCTCTTCTTGCATAAAATTTATATCCAAATTTACAGAAAAATATTCTCTTTCTCACAAGCTAGGTGACAAGAAAAAAAGACCAAACAAACAATTTTACTTTTTGCCTAAATTATGTAAATTTTAAATTTCTATAATTATAGAAATGACACTGCACACTGCATTGCTCCCTTAACGCTATTTGTCCCTAATGGCCTACAGGCATACCACCATTTTTTCTTTTCTGCTGAGTGCCAGCAGCACTTCTGAGAGTGGTTGGCGGTCCTACATCTCTGGCTGTTAACTCTGTTGCACTCAGCCTATTTTCCAAGTACCTGGCCTCAAACCCTCAGGCGAATTTGGCTCAATTTTCAAGTCTCACTTCAGAAATTCACCAAAAATACAATTTCAGTCAAAGACATGTGAAAAAAATCACATTTACTCACTACAAACAGCAAATTTAAACAAAAATAGCTTACAAGTGCTGAGTATAATAATTTTAAAAAATAAAAACTGAAAGAATTAATTATAATTAATTGTATTTTTGGTGAATTTCTGAAGTGAGACTTGAAAATTGAGCCAAATTCGCCTGAGGGTTTGAGGCCAGGTACTTGGAAAATAGGCTGAGTGCAACAGAGTTAACAGCCAGAGATGTAGGACCGCCAACCACTCTCAGAAGTGCTGCTGGCACTCAGCAGAAAAGAAAAAATGGTGGTATGCCTGTAGGCCATTAGGGACAAATAGCGTTAAGGGAGCAATGCAGTGTGCAGTGTCATTTCTAGGCAACAATCACAGACAAACAGATTCCTGAAGCAACAATCAATCACAACAGTGGAGGCACTGTTGGAAATGGGGTTTTCTATGGTGGTCAATGCTGTGGTGTTTTGTGACATCAGTTTGTCCAGTGATTGAGGCTAGCTCTTTCTAACGGACCCAACTGAATAGGTGTTTTCCTTCACCTGAGGATGGAAACAGATCCAGTTTCTGAAACGCCGTGGTTTTATTTTAGCTTAAAAAAAACCAGGACGATGGATAAAGTCCAAAAACCCAACATATCAGTGTGTTATACACCATCGTCAGAATCCTATAGTAAGAACTCTAATTGTAATAAAAATTTCCAAAATTAAATTTCAACTATTTGTATGACTATGAAGGCATCACATACAGGTTAAATCAACAAGTAACTATGGCTTAATATGCAATGTCCTAAAACATTTAGTGGTTCTTATATACTTACACTGGGATCAACACGTGGCCTTATCTGATGCTGTAACTTCTTCTTTGTGAGTTTCTTTTCAGATTTTCTTGTCTCAGCTTGGCAATCAGCAGCTGTTATCAGTTTCTGAAGATCCTGCTGTTTCTTTTCTCGTTCTTTCTTCCTTGCTTCAATCTTCTTCAGTTCATTTATAAGAGTCTGTTCCTCCTCAATCTGATGAAATAATGTAATACTTAAAATTACAAAATAAGGATGATAGAATAAAGAAACAGTAATATTATATGGCAAACATCTTCCTAGCAGAAATCTGAGGTTCCCACAGCTGTGGCTATGAAGAGTATGAGTACCATCTTCTGGGATGTGACGCCATGCAATCTGGTAAACGTTTGTTATATTTTAGCGTCCTGTTGCACTGATTTAAGTCCATGATTTATTTAATCCGTCTTGCAGTGCATACATTCATTTATCTCCTTCTTTCCCTCGCACTACATGTTTCGGCATAATAATGCCATCTTCAGGTGCTTACTTGTCCACGTCAAACCAGTTCATTGCATGCCATGTTCACACATTAAAATAACTAAAATATGTATCTATCATATACATTGTCAAACGTTAAAAGTATTAAAATTGTTCAGGATACCACATCACTACGTCGCCCCTCACTACGTCAGTCACGCCCATTCTCCTTTGTTGTGTTGTTATCAACACACACACACAGTCGCAGGAGCACGACACAACAAAAGCACAACACACAAGATAGTGAAGGAGTGCTCCAACAAAGGAGAATGGGCGTGACTGACGTAGTGAGGGGCGACGTAGTGATGTGGTATCCTGAACAATTTTAATACTTTTAACGTTTGACAATGTATATGATAGATACATATTTTAGTTATTTTAATGTGTGAACATGGCATGCAATGAACTGGTTTGACGTGGACAAGTAAGCACCTGAAGATGGCATTATTATGCCGAAACATGTAGTGCGAGGGAAAGAAGGAGATAAATGAATGTATGCACTGCAAGACGGATTAAATAAATCATGGACTGGTAAACGTTTACCAATATTTCAGAAGGATACTCCCTCCATCTCTAGTGTCAAACAAGAACAATGCTGTTGCCTGCTTGATTAGCTTACTTTCTGGCCCTGAAGATTGGAAGCAGAATATAGCATCACATCCCTGAACACAGTGCTCTTTACCTTTCTAATTAACTATGTACATGGTAGTAGCACTATTCTAATTTTGGTTGGTGACCCACATAAAAGACAGGCTTTGGATTACGTAGGAACCTAAACTGCCAACATACTTAGTCTTTCTTAGGACCAAATATTCTCTTTAAGCTCTTGCTTTCACACATTTGTAATTTACGTTATCTCAAAGTAAAAAATCATATTTCACATCTAAACAAAAAAACTGGGAAAATTACTGTACTACATACATAATTTTGTTATCTTTATCTTTACTATTCTTGAAAGCAATACGATGATAAGTGTTTCAACAATAATACCAACAGCAACGATGACGACGATAATGACAACTACTACTACTTTGTAGGTTATGGTAAATAAGGCCTGTTCCTACAGAAGTCAAAATGGTCTTGTTCTCTATCATTGTTCCGGGCTTTGTAAGTCTCATCATTGCCTCATCAGTAATGAAATACCCAGCGTAGTAGGCAGTATTTTTCCTGTCCTTACATCTCTTCAACTATATTCATAGCTTTCAGTCTTATTTTGACATAAGAATTTCTTTAGCGGTCTAATCCAGTGAAGGCTTAATAGTGGTCTCAAAACAGATGTGCTGCTTCAATTTGTGGGGTTCCTTTTAGTTCAAAATCTTGAACTTTTGACCAAGTTCTTGAACTCAGTCACAAGATGCATTTACGAAATTGATTTGATATATCATACCAAAATACTCAAATTCTGAAACATATTCAAATGTTTAGTATGCACAGTGGGTTGTAGCATAGTTGGTTGAGGCACTATGCTACAAGCCAGAAGGTCGCGGGATCAAATCCTGATGAGGTGGATTTTTTCAATTTACCTAATCCTTCCAACTGCACTATGGCCTTGGGGTCAACTCAGCTTCTAACAGAAATGAGTACCAGGAATATTCTTGGGGGTAAAGGGCGGCCAGCACGTAAGGCTGACAACCTTACCGCCATCTATGAGCCGACTGTCTAGAAAATGTGGGAACTTCAATATCTCACAACCCTATGGGCCTCCACGGCCTGTTACAGGGATAGCTTTACTAACTTCTTTTGGCTTATTTTGGACTTCACCCATCGTCTGGTATGTAAAAGACAAAAAGACAAAAAACCACGACGTTTCAGAGACTGGATCTGTCTCCGTCTTCAGGTGGATAGGGAAGGATAAACCTACTCAGTTGGGCCCCTTAGAAAGAGCTAGTCTCAATCAAAATAAGCCAAAAGAAGTACAGTATACACCATCGTCAGAATCCTTTCAAGTCTAGCTTTACTAACGTTTTACTTTTTTGGTATTCACAGTTCCTTCTGGAACAAAATCAGTGGTTTAACACAAATAGCAAATCAAGAGCCTGACCACTGTTTCCAAAAGAGATATACATTTTGAATATATCTTAATCCTTTGTTGTACACTAGTATCATGCATCATAGCCTACTGATCAGGTACACAGAACAACTGATTCATTTCAGTGCTGTTCTCGAAGTAATATACTGCTTGTGCAAAAAGTCAATCTTTTGAATTTGCAAGGATTAACTTAAAACATCAGCATAACTCCTACAAAACCTTCAGGTTTCAAACAATTACATTTTGCACAAGTTATACCAATTTTGTCACTACCACCAGAGAGCAGTTGTCTGCGTCAATAAAGGGGGTACCTATGTTTGATCAATTCGTGCATTTAGTATACCACTGATCTTAGCACCAAAATGCTTGAACAATTCCTCCATTTTTTAACAAAAAATTAAATAAGAATGACTAAAGAGTCCTGCAATAATGTTTATAAATTGCAGGACAAAAAGGATCCCATAACTATGGATCAACACTTTAATTTATTCACCAGGTCATTCCACTGACAGTAGCCTATGAACATGGGTCCGATCCTCAACAGCAACTGAGCTATGATGGGACATGCTATTAGAAGTTCTGAAAGACTGTAATCCTTCAAAGAGACCACAACTATGAGGACAGTGGTGTAAGGTGAACAAATTTTTAAAAATCTTTGATGTTGTGGCTGGAAGGATTTAAACTGATCAGTATTTTGTTTGTGAACCTACCCCTCTTAAAACTTCTACAGTTTTGTAATGGTTTAATATAAGGGTCTCCAAACTATGGCCTGCGATGTGATTTTACCCGGCCCGCAAAAGAATTGTGCAGAAATGCGCCAACTGAACTAATTTTCCGAGTACTGGTAAAAAAAAATACTTGTTCATAAATTTCAAATTCATTAATTAAGATTGTGTTTAAAATATATTGATATTCCATATTATGTTAACATTAATATTATTCACAATTTTACTAAATCTGGACCGTATACTGCACGGTATTTCTTCGTAGTTGTTCGGCCTCGATCGGCAGTGTCACTTCATGGCAATGTAGGTAGCACGAGCAGTTCGTTACTAGCCGTCTTGTGCACAAGACTTCTTGCAATTGTGCAGTGTAATTGTAACAGATCATCATCACCTCAATTTAATCAGACTTTAAGAATGCAAAAAGAGTTTCATCATTCACATTAATTGTTTTATTATAATTTGTGATGAAAATATGTGCATTTGCTGCTACTGTCTGTTGTCATTAATATACGATAATTTATTCTCACGTACTTCGTATTTAGTTTATGAAATTCTGTGCTTTCAATAAAACTCATATACCTAGAGTTATTAATTTCTCATTTTATCCGGCCCGTTGAAAGTGCTGAATTACCTAATGTGGCCCACGTTTTGAAAAGTTTGGAGACCCCTGGTTTAATACACTACAATGAAATAAAAAGCATTCTTACGATCTCTGAGCATGATGCTTCATTTTACAAATTCCTTAACTTTTTGTGCATTTTACAACATTCAACGATTATGTGAAATTTAGGTTTCATAAAACGTGAATGTTTGGTGCAAATGACCGGGTTATGAACATGTCTTACCTCTACACACTTCAAACTAACACAGCAGTGCTGTTCTGAGATGTACAAGGTGTGGCAATAAAGAACCCGGATTACTTTTATGACTCATTTCCGGCCACATCATTGACGAAGAGGAGGGTAGGGCATTGACCCTTGGACTTCCCTCTACCGTCACACAAAGTTTCATTCACGTGCATCGGTTAGTCTGGCCGCGACCATTGTTAGAAGCGGATCGTGTTTCTGAGCTCCGTCGGAATAATGC